TGCCTACGCTCTCCTTCCCCTGCCGAAGAACAGCAGCTGTGCTGGGCTCCCGGCTGCACGGAGCGCGTCCGCCGCTTGTTTTCAGAGGAAGCAGCCAAGGAGGTGCAGTGGGCAGGAACAGCAGCAGCCGTCTGGCTCAGCAACAGCGATGGTAGTGGCAGCGGCAGCGGCAGCCAAACTGCCTCCTCTGGGCTCTTTTATGCCCTCCCCGCTCCCGTAGCACTGGACAATGGGAAGGAGAGAGGGAAGGAAGGGACAAAGAGAGGAAGAAAGGAAGGAAGGGAGGGAGGGACAATGGAAGGGAGGGAGAGAAGGAGGAAGGGAGAAAGAGGGAAGGGAGGGAGTGACAATGGGAGGGAGGGAAGGAGGAAGGGATAAAGAGGGAGGGAAGGGAGGAAGGAAAGGGACAATGGAAGGGAGAGAGGGAGGGAAGGAGGAAGGGACAAATAGTGAAGGAAGGAAAGAAAGAAAGAAGGGAGGGAGGGACAATGGAAGGGAGGGAGGGAAGGAAGAATGGACAAAGGGAAGGAAGGAAGGAAGGAAAAAAGAGGGAGGGAGGGACAAAGGGAGGGAAGGAAGGAAGGAAAGAAGGAAGGGAGGGAGTGACAATGGAAGGGAGGGAGAGAGGAAGGGACAAAGGAAGGGAAGGAAGAAAGGAAGGGAGGGAGGGACAATGGAAGGGAGGGAGGGAAGGAGGAAGGGACAAAGAGAGGAAAGAAAGGAAGGAAGGAAGGAACAATGGGAGGGAGAGAGGGAGGAAAGGAAGGTGCCCATGCCTGCCCACCCCCTCCACCAGAGACTCACAGATTCCCCCCCACATCCCCACCCGCACCCCCCACAGGCACCCCACAACCTGAGTGATGAGCTGGCCACGCCCCCCTGGCCATTGACTGCTTGTCAAAAAGTTGCAAAAGGTGATCACATGACCCTGGGACACTGTGACCGTCATAAGTATGAATCAGATGCCAAGCATCCGAATGTAAATCACATGACCCTGAGGATGCTGCAACAGCATTAAGTGTGAAAAATGGGCATAATTTTCTTTTTCAGTGCCGTTGTAACTTCGAACAGTCACTAAGCGAATTGTTGTAAGTCGAGGACTAACTGTACTTTATCATTTTTTCCTTTTTTTTGTTGGTCAAGTTTTTGACACCTTTCTGGGCGACTGGTGGTACTCGGATATTGCCTTATCCTAAAAGTGGTACAATGGGTGAAAAGGTTGAAAAGCCCTGCTCTAGATGGAGACTACCAAAACTTCCAGCATATTTAGATAGCATCAAATTGAATAGACTATTGTAGTAGCAGATCACATTCACTACTTTTGAAATAAATTCATCTGTAGTAAGAACAATGACATTTGGATGTAGCCCGGAATGGTATTTTTCAAAATGGATTGCAGATAAGTCATGCTCTATTTCAGTGATGGCAAACCTTTTAGAGACCGAGTGCCCAAACCTCAACCCAAAACCCACTTATGTATTGCCGGGTGCTGGGTGGGCGTGGCTGCCGGGTGGGTGTGGCCCGCCAGGTGGGCGTGGCTACAGTGGTCATGGCAGATGGGTGGGCATGGCCAGGGTGGGCATGGCCAGCTCAATGTTGCTCCTGGGGAAGGACACCTGTGGGGGCTGGGCAGGGTTGGGGGAGTTCCAGGGGTCTCTGGCGCGTGGGGCAGTGGGCAGGAAGCTGGTTCTGCACGGTGAGGCGAGGCAGGGCAGGGGTGCCCTGTTGCAGGGCAAGGCGAGGCAGGGGCCGGGGCGGCAGCTGCCTAACACCATCGGCCCCCACACACAAAAGCCAGCAAGCGCATGGGTGCTGGGATGCATCCGGCCATGTGGTACCTCTGCAAGTTAGCGGGCAGCTGGTTGAAGAGGACGGTTGCCATCTCCGGGGCATGGCGCGCATGCCCACAGAGAGGGCTTCGAGTCCCGCCTCTGGCACGCGTGCCATAGGTTCTCCATCACTGCTCTATTTGCTTTTCAGAGAAAGTAGAATAGCTCAGAAATACAATTTACTATTCAGTATTAGAAGAAAGTATGTTTTGGAATGACTTCATGGAATCCCAGTTTTGAATAGTAGTTCTTCAGTAGATTGACATGCCAGAATTTAAAACTCGTTTTTAAAAAGATCAATACTCTCTGTATAATATAATCCTTGAGATGATGAAGAATTTTACTACCGTAGGCATCATATTGTGCATTGCATCACTTTGAGCTGCCTGTTATTATAATAATAATAATAATAATGATAAAGTTGGAAGGGACCTCGGAGGTCATCTAGTCCAACCTCCTGCTCAGGCAGGAAACCCTATACCATTTCGGACAAATGGCTGTCCAGTTTCTTCTTAAAAACTTCCAGTGTTGGCGCATTCACCGCTTCTGGAGGCAGGTTGTTCCACTGGTTAATTGTTCTAACTGTCAGGAAG